TTCTGCCGAATAAGTGCATAAATAAAATATTTTCTATTGTTAATTCGCTGTCGTTTTTCTGTTGCTTGTTGCTTCTGACATTCCAAACTAAACTGACTAAATACTGTTCAATTAATCCTCCAGATGTGGTTCTGGTTGTGTTTTTGAAAATGGTGTAACACGTTCGACGGATTGATATTTAGTATTGTGACGTATAGCATACTGCTTTTGAAAGTGTAAGGATTTTATCCAGATCTAACAAGTAACAATAAAACGAAAGCCATTCAATTACAACCAAGATACGTCTTGCATATCCAATTTTCAATTTTACGCTGGCAGAAAAGGACCACATTGACCTCCTCGAAATACTCACTGACGAATAAATTGAAGCATAATTGCTTGTTTATATGTTGAATTTCGCGCAAAACTACATCAATGCTATTTGCGTTAGCTGCTCCTAATTTTGAAGTGAGATAGACTAGAGGGAAGGTAGTCAGTCAACACCACTCACCACCAACACTTGGACTACTTTTGTCAGGCCGAATAGTGTGATTTGACTGTTACTTTTCTAACGTACGCACAGTTCCAAAGTGAGGAGCTTTTTCTATGACAGTTACAGGATGCAAATCAAAGAACTTCAACTCCATAGTTCGGCGTCACCCACTGGGACAGCGGTAAATCTACTGATTTAAAACGCTAAAATCAGGGGTTCGATTCCCCTCGGCCATATTTCGGCACACTAACTACTGTCTCAAGCTCGAACCTTGAACCACTACATTAATGGATACTGTTTGTAATAGAGCAAAGTCACATTGGGCTATTTGCTGTGTCCACCGCGGGGAATCGAACCCAGGATTTTAGCGTTGTAAGTCCATAAGCTTACCGCAACTAAAGCAGACTTGTATTAATGATCATTAATGATACAAGATAGAAGATCAAAGAGAAAATGAAATTCTAAAAGAAAAACAAAAGCAATCTTCTACAGAATGAAACATAAAACTATTTAGTGATAGCAGAAGTACAGAATGTCAGATTACAGCGATCTTCTTGTATACTCCGCCTGCATTATTTTTCCAAATAAAATATAAATATACTAGAAACTGAAGAAGCACTATTATTTTTATATAGGGTATAATGCAATAACTTCAACACGTTAATGCAGCCAAACGCCTAGTTATTTAATTAGTGACACGCATGGAAGAATTACAGAGATTTTGATCGTCCTTATCTGAACCCACATGAACTGTTATTAATATAAATGTATTTTCTATTTGCTAAGCAACTTTAATCGTCCAATAAAAAAAAAACTATCGTAAAGAAATATAAAGTGTATAATTAAATACTATCATGAACTAGATTAGGAACGGTGAGTGTGTGTGTGTTTTCTACTTGATATTCACATGAGCTTTAGCAATATCTAACAGCTATAATTATGTTTTGTCTTTGCATCTATGACATTCTTTAAACACAAATGTATCGAAAAAATCACATTTCAGTTTTTTAATATGCCTTTTTGTTTTCGATCTGAAGATAGAAAATATTCCGTCAGGGGATTCATGTTTAGAAATTAGTACAAGTTCAGTAAGTTTTTACAACTACAAAGTGTCTTGCTGTATGTATGTATTATTTCTTTGATTTTTAAGGTTTTGGCACTTCTCTGTTTTATAATTTTATCGAAAACAAAACAAAAAACAAAAAAAAATAGCCATGGTTCATTTGTTTGTTACCAAACACCAGTTAAGTGTGTGCTTATAAAGCATATATTTAAAGCCTGTATAACTCTTCCATCTTAAAAAACAATTTTGAAGTTTTTAAGAAGAGAGAAGGCGAAATGTCTTCATAACAGAAAAAAAAAGCGACTACAATTAAAAGGTTTTTCAAAAGCTTTTAACAGTTATAGACTAAACATGAAAAAACAATGTGCAAGGTCAGAGGTCATTGTCACAAAAAATGTTTTAGTTCTCTTAAAAAGAAAATTTCTAAGTCATATTCAAAATTAATTTTATTAATAGGTATATTAATTAGTTTAATCACGTAACCTTATCTACGTCTTCTTTAATTACGAAAATGAATTACCCTTTTTTACTGTATCAAATTCTCCAATTTACAGCTATCACATTCTATTATAATATTCTAGATGATATATTTCGGACTAGCCTATTCGTTATTTAAAATAGACAAATTAAAACAGTGCTTGTAAAGATATTCTATTGTCATGGTATCAGTCACTGAGCTCATTTTCAGGACCGGTAAATCATTTCCCGACTGGATATTTCCCTTCAAATACCAAATCACAGAAAACAAAATAGTTTGTTAGTGTTTCGTAATTTCCAAATAACCAAATAAAACAGTATTTGTAAATATATTCTACACTAACAAACTATTTTGTTTTCTGTGATTTGGTATTTGAAGGGAAATATCCAGCCGGGAAATGATTTGCCAGTCCTGAAAATGAGCTCAGTGACTGATACCATGACAATTTTGTGATTTCAAAATAACCAAATTAAAACAGTATTTGTAAAGATATTCTATTGTCATGGTATCAGTCACTGAGCTCATTTTCAGGACTGGCAAATCATTTCCCGACTGGATATTTCCCTTCAAATACCAAAACGCAGAAAACAAAATAGTTTGTTAGTGTTTTGTAATTAAAGCTGACAATCTTATACTCACATACGGGAATCGCGGTACTGTTGATTATGGTCGCCAAATACAACATAAAAAGATTAACCAAACTTATTTCAATTGTTGTTTTGAATAGCTTAAACCACTTAGAAATGTTTTCAGACATAATTCGTAATTCGAGGCTGTGTTTCGACTGGATTACAATTGTCTTATGGGGTCTTATGTTTGTTGTTAAATAGGAAAATAAAAACCCTCCAAAATAGTAACAATTAGCCAGTACTGGCCATCTGTTAGCCTTTGTAACAAAGAGATCATCTTGCAATAGGCAGACCGTTTGAGTTGTGATGTCCTACACTAGGTGGCAGGTGTCTATTATGGGATGGTTCATATATTTTATTACGTTTTTTTTTTCGATGTTTATCTTTTCTTTGTTGCTCACTAATATCGCAAGTTAACAAACAAGATGTTATACGATTTTTCTCTACTAATCACTTCTCATTATAACAATAAATAATAAGTAAAGCGCTGTTACATTGAACGAAAATTGAGTTTATCTTTACTTTTCAAGAAATATTTTTCATGCGGTGAAAAGTGAAATTTAACGTTTAAAAGCATATTTATTGGCAGAACTTCTGGAAACAGAACAAACCAATCACAGATTTTCTCTTAATTACTGTACTGCCTATTAGATTATACTTACCGAAATATACCACTATCACGTACATCTATCTCACTTTCATTTAACAATAGTAGAAAAATAATCAGCCATCTTAATCATTGGATATTTTCTTCAATTAACATTGCGGTAAATGCCATTAACGTTACAATAAAAATAATTAATATTGTATTGAATATCAATGTTTGTTTGGTTGGTTTGATGTTAAGCATAAAACTACACAATAGGCTATCTGTGCTCTGCCCAATATGGGTATAAAAAACCAATTTTTAGCATTGTAAACACGTAGACTTGCCCCTGATCCACTAGAGGGGAATAAATGTCATCAGCATTCCATACTGTTATTAACATTCCAAAAAACAATTACCGTATCAGAAGTTTTCTTGTATACCAGTGTTACATTAGTTATTATAAATCGCATTAATTGAGACTTTACAACAACCATAATTAGTTGTGTGTTTCAATATATATATAGAACACTACAGAGGAGACACTGGCTTACCACGCTTGAATTAAGCTTCACGGTTTGTGTGACATCAGTTTTTTAATGTATAACAATCTATACTTGAAATTTTCATAACTAGCTAAGAAAAGGCCAAAACCAAAATTACTTAAATGCTTTTAAAGAATGTATCTCAAAATCCAACTTAATACAGTCAGATTTATTAATCACGTTGATTAAACCCCCCAAAGAGTGTACTCGAGAAGATGTCTCGTTAAAACAAGTAAAGAAATTAACACCTAGATAACTTTTCAATCTCTGGAGAGAAAAAAAGAAAGACATTTTTTCATGTGAAATAGAAACTTCTTAACACAATAAACTGTAAGGAAACGGGTGTATAAAAGTCTTGCACTGACGCCAAAATGTCACGTGCTCTGTGGTTTAACTCCGCCATATTGGATGTCAAGTGCTAACATTTATTTTAGGTAAAAAGTGATAGCTTTGTTTCCTAAAATCGTGTCATCTAACGCTGTAACTCATCTCAGGGATGCATTTAAAGAAAAATTAGTTTCGGATCTGCATCTTTTACTAAAGGCGATGTTCGCGCCATTAATTGAATCTTGTATTGATATGGATTACTGTTGATTACTAAAAAGGGAACATGATGGCGTTACACGAAACAAGTTTCGTGACGTCACGTGCAGGCCTCTATTACATAGGCATATTCTTATTTTATATATAGAAATATTAGGAATAGTAGTGTATTTTCAACCTGGAAAGGACCTTATGCACAGATGGGCTAAGATGCCAGGTCAAAAGACCCCTAGGGTTCAGGTAAAGCCTTTCATATTTTTAAATTACTGGCCGAAGGTATGGCAGCCAATCAGCAGCACCACAAGGGCTTTGTCCGGTTTGGAATCAATTAACGCGATTGACTGTCACTCTGCAACTACAACAAAAAGTGCAGATCGTGTTTGGTGATATTACGACGTAAACCCTGAACTTTGTAATCCACGTTAAAACTAGGCCACGCCCGGACTAGGAGTAGCTACAAAACGTACCACCTTTCTAAACTTAGAAAAGTCTACGAATTCCAGTGGAAGACACGTTTTAGAGTGTAAGGAGTGACAAAACGAAATAATTAGTCAAAATATTGGTCCAGAGGTTCCTACAAAGGAATATTATAAATACATGTTTCAGTACAAAAAAAAAGTTTTATTTGTAAGTTCTTTGTCAAGGCTACTTAGAAACTAGCCTCGAAATAAGATTAACACTTACCTTTGCTAATGTTTCTTGTGCTTGTGGGTATTACAGGAAAGAAAACACGTAACTTATTCGTATACTTTTGTTTTGAAATTGAACTACGATTTTGCTTTTCAGTGACAGAATTAGGAGAAGAAGAGACTTTTCGATCTGAAGATTTCAAATACCGTGATACAGAAGCATTTGAAAATACGCTTGTCCGGCTGATGGACGTTTGTGTATTGTTTCGGGCAAGCACACATTTCTGGTGAAAGTTCTTATTGTGAGGCCCTCTATAGGTGTGGCAGGAGTCACAAACTGTGTCTTTCGATGATGTGCACTGATGGGCTATGTACAGACCTTCGCCACACCGAGAACATGGGTAACACCTTTGCTTGTAAGAGTGGTGGGGCAGGTATGTCCCTGGTCGGCAGGCGGCGCATTCTGTGTTTTTGTTTCTAGAACAACGTTCGACCACAGAGTACCCTGGTGAGCAGCGGGAACATCCTGCGATAAGTCTGTGCCTATGGTGATAGTTATGTGCATTACGACTCCAGGCTTCCTGTACAGAAGAAATAAGTCAGTGAATTAACTAGTAAACTAAAAACGTGAGTTATGAGGTTCATGATTAAACTTTCAGCATCGAAAATCGATTAAGAACGTTTTAAGTATGCACTAAACTTTTGTCGTGGCTTTCATGTTCCAACCGTGCATATTTTAAGCTTAGTAAATATATATATATATATATTTTTACGTCCATTAGATAGTCGCGGTACTACCATTTTTCACAGATAAAGGCTTAACTATGGGCCTACTCGGATTATTTACTTGCCTTCTTTACCGTGTTCAGTTTCGTTTCGTTTTGTATGCCTAACCTAAGCACAGTGGAACGAAATCCTTTCTGAAAGTTTTCGTCTAACGATAACACTTGTCTCATGATGTGATTAAAACGTTCAGAACTGCGCAGCAAGATCTGCATACATCTAGCGATAAGAAGGACATCTGTGTTCTAATGTTTGCTTTTCCCACGAGATTTGTACAAGAATCAACCAGAGTGGCAAAAAGAGATTGCGACTGTTCCCGTCATGACCTCTTCAAATGGCTCTTGTTGAATGTAATATATTAAGTATTTGCTTGAATGTATTGACAGGAAGTAATGTATATATAAAACTTTTATTGTATCGCTAGCTCTGTTCTATCCAGCACTTATTTCACTCAAATTTACCACCTAAGTTTTTTTCACAACTATATACAACATGGATAATAGGACAACTTCGAAAAACCAACAACAACTACAGACATTGAAGAGGAAAGCTGAAGGAATGCAATTAAAAATGACTTAGTCGGAAATTAAAACTTATTAACAGAATTCTAGACAATTATCTTAAGTTACTAAACTAAAATAGAATTCTTGCAAAATTGGAATAACAAACCATCTCAAATTAACAATTCCATATACCCTCTCCTCTCCCCCCTCAAAAAAAGAAAAGCGTCCAGAGAAGCAGATCTCCAGATAATCTGTCTAGAAACAGAATTCCAACAAAAAACTGCCCAGATAAATAAACTGTTGATAAAAATGAACTTCATATAAACCGTTCAAAAACAAAACTATAATGCACAGCGAAAGCACCCCTAGACACAGAACTCCAGAGAAAATGTTCAAAGAAGAGAATTTTTATCAAACAATTCAGATTAACAAGCTCCAGGGAAGACTGTAAAGGCAAAAATTTTGACAAATTAACCACAGAAACAGAATCCCTGACAAATTAACTACAGAAACAGAATTCCTGACAAATTACTCAGAACAAAAATTTCTGAAACCTGCCTAGAATGTTTGTTTGTAATTAAGTACAAAGCTACACAATGGGCTATCTGTGCTCTGCCCACCACGGGTATCGAAATCCGGATTCTAGCGTTGTAAGTCCGCAGACATACCGCTGTGCCACTGGGGGGCACCTGCCCAGATAAACAGGACTCCTGGCACAATGAACAGAGAAAGAGTAGTCAGACAAACTTGGAAACAACAACTAAAACAATATAGAAAAAGTACGTATTAATAAAGGATAAAATATCAGTAACAGAGACATACCAAAAACTCGATAAGAATACAAGCAAAGAAAAAAATCTAGCAAAAAAACTCGAAACAATTTTTCAGAACCGAACAGATAAATTATGGAATTTAGAAAAACAACAATAGAAAATATCAAAAACACGAAACTAGAAAAAAAAAGATCTAGATTTGGGTTAAATATCAGTTGTTGAAGTTCTTGTCAAATATCTAATATTTGTTGAAATTTAATAAAACAGTCAAAAATCTGATTCAAGCAACTATACATCAAAGAAACAGAATTAGAATCACAAAATATTGTTCTAAGGATTAGCTAATGACATTAGATCAAAGAAACAGAATTAGAATCACAAAATATTGTTCTAAGAATTAGCTAATGACATTAGATCAAAGAAACAGAATTAGAATCACAAATAATATTCTAAGTATTAGCTAACGACATTAGATCAAAGAAACAGAACTTAATCCTTAGAATATTATTTTGTGATTCTGATCTAATGTCGTTAGCTTTTGTGATTCTAATTCTGTTTATTTGCTAATCCTTAGAATATTATTTGTTTCTTTGATCTAATGTCGTTAAATTCTTAATCCTTAGAATATTATTTTGTGATTCTGATCTAATGTCGTTAGTTAATCCTTGGAATATTATTTTGTGATTCTAATTCTGTTTCTTTGATCTAATGTCGTTAATTTTGTGATTCTAATTCTGTTTATTTGCTAATCCTTAGAATATTAGTTTCTTTGATCTAATGTCGTTATCGTTAGCTAATCCTTAGAACATTATTTTGTGATTCTAATTCATTAGATCAAAGAAACAGAATTAGAATCACAAATAATATTCTAAGGATTAGCTAACGACATTAGATCAAAGAAACAGAATTAGAATCACAAAATAATGTTCTAAGGATCAATTAACGACATTAGATCAAAGAAACAGAATTAGAATCACAAAATAATGTTCTAAGGATTAATTAACGACATTAGGTCAAAGAAACAGAATTAGAGTCACAAAATAATATTCTAGGGATTAGCTAACGACATTGGAGTGTGGAAGATGTGGCCATGAAACGCAACTGTTGAGAAACTTATTAGAAAAGACAAAGCATTGAAAGAAATAAACATAAAAACAAAATCGTAGAAAATTTATAAGGAAGCTAAAATCCAAAAGAAGTAGCCGAAAACCGAAAATATGAAAACAGAAGCTAAATTAAGAAAATATGATAATTAGGAAAAGAAAGTTTTGAAAGGACAGAATAAAAAAAAATTGAAAGATGAGTAGAAAATCGTGAAAAAGTAGCTACAGCATGAAACTAATTGAAGTGACCATAGAGACACGAAAAATAACTGACTAGAGACAGAATCAACATACAATGAAAACTGTAACACAGCTTGTCAAGAGCCAAAAAATAAAACATGGAAGGGTTACCTAAAGATCCAAAACTGAACTAACATAACTAAATTCTAAAAACTGATTCATTCATAAAACAACCACAGAGGGGTTATTAGTAAAATCAGAGAGGACAAACGAAAAGATAAAAAAAAGACAACAACAGATTTTGTGTATGTTAATTACTTTCGCACTTCATTGCATGTATCGACTATTGAATGACAATTCTTTTAATTCACTGAACTCCCCTAATTATAGATCTCAAATTACAAGCTGTATTCTTTTGAATACAAAATAAAATTTAATTTAAGGAACTGGTTTTAGCTTGTTGGATAAATCTAGTTGTACTATAGTCCTTCATACACTCCATATGTGTCAAGCTTCTTTGTTTATAATCAAATTCGAAAATAATATGCGTGTTCTGTTGTATTTCTATGACAACATCTATACATATTCCCATGGAAACACGAACCATTAACTTCTTTACTTATTTTTCTAACGTGACTTAAGAATATTTCATCTGAATAGGTTATTGTTTATACGTTATGCGAGTTTATATGCATTAGAAATAGATCTGAGCAAGTTGTAATGCACATGTTTGGAGTAACATCTACCGTGTTTCGTGTTACTTGAGTTTCAGCTACGGTGATCAAATGTAAGGAAAAGTAAAAAAACATTACTCTATAATCAGCTAAAACTTCTGGAATCAAATACTTACCATGAAGAACGTCTGAAGAAGAAGAAGAAGAAACGGATAAAATCTTCTCTGCAACATCCTAAGAACTTGTGTTAGCTTCTATATCATTTCATCGAAGTAACAAGTTGTGTTAACGGTCTTCATAAAAAACGAATAAAAAGCACAAAATATAAGTGGCTAAAACCACCAGCCTAAGTGGACTTTTCTTATTGCTAGCTCAGTGAACAGGTCACCCACTACTGGACAGTCTAAGCAGTCTGTTTGCATTAAAGCTGTTACTTAAATATCTGTTCATATCCTCTCTCTCTTATCGACATAGCGCTTTCAGCAACAACACCTTAGTTCGTTTTATACTCTACCTCATCGCTGCACGAGCTCGGTCACGCATGAGGCATAACGTACGAGAGCTTGAGTTTCTATTCCCTAAATCGCCCATAGGTAGCGCTTTAGTATTAAGGCAGGTGATAAGAAAAACAAACACCAACCTACCATTTCAACAACTTCAAACATCTGGCTCTGCGGAAATGAGTTTCTTGATATTTTTAAATTACTTTCAGCGCAACAATGTTTTAGGACACTTTATACAAAGAGTTTTCGAAAACATTGTCTTATTTCACGATTGAACAGAATATGAAACAGTTATTATATTTAAAGTAATACCATTTTGTTGTATACTTTGTCTTTGACTTTTTTACACAAATCTCTGTTTTCAGGCCTCAACAAAAGTAAAGAATTATAAAGTTTGACACAAAATCTACAAAATATACTACAGTTTAATGTGCTGCTTACTTTCAGTTATAAATTTAATTACTGTTAATCATAAATATCATCCTTTTATATGTATGTTCTAATTATGATATTTATAATTAACAGCCCTTTTATATGTATGTTTTAATTACTGTTAATTATAAATATCATCCTTTTATATGTATGTTTTAATTACTGTTAATTATAAATATCATCCTTTTATATGTATGTTTTAATTACTGTTAATTATAAATATCACCCTTTTATATGTATGTTTATAATGATGCAACTCTTCCTATTATCGTACATGTACTTATACTAATCAAACTTTACAGATAATTGGATCATTTTTTTATAGAATATGGCGCTATGTACCAGTATAGTAATAAAACACATAATTTGGATTTCAATACCTATTGAGCATGTAATAAATTTAACTGGAATACAATGTGTTATTTTTAATGCTCTAAATGCATGTTGTAGACGTTAATTGTTCGTACATATTGAGATTCGGTAGTCTTCCTTTGTATAGATTATGGCACACGATACCTTTTCAACAATCCTTTCCGTTCGTCCTCATCTGGTCATTGTAGTTGTTTTGTAGTGATGGGTTTAATGCAGAGGATAGGATGACTTTGAAATAGACCCGAACATCTACATCTTAACCCTGACCTGATGACGATGAGCAGCTTGAAACAATGGTTGATGTACGTACAGTTTGACCAAGAAAAATATGTTTACATTCTACCTTCCCAAAGCCAAGTTGTTTGACTTGAAAAACAAAACAAAGTGAAACCGCTATTATTTAATTATAATGAAAGATAGATAGGCCAATTTTAAACATTTTAATATTGCCGTTTTTTGTTTTCCTCTTGTATATGGTTTTCTCTGTATGTCTGTAGTAAAGGAACATTTCTCAAACTTTGCCAAGTACAGACTTAATGTTTTGTAACACATAATGCTACACATGCTTTGCTCGTTTTGATAAACTTTGTAATTCACGTCGTAAGATTATAACTATGGAGTAGTGACGACACAGTCGTCTTTTGTAGTGAAAGCTAAGGAAGTGTACTTACGAAATGCTTTTTTACTTCATCAATCTTTTTGGAATGTTTAAAAAAAACATTTGGATCTGCCACAACATGTACAAATCTCGTCTCCAGTCAGATCCAGCAAATGGATAACGTTCACTCAACAATCCTCTGACAAAGTAGAGTTTTGCACAACAGCTCAAGTAGTATCTCATTACATTGTCTTCCTGTTTTAGCTGTTAGCAGAGAGTTCCTGTTTACATCGCCTTCCTGGTCATAGTGTATTCCTGTTTACGGAGTACACTTATTTGTAGAGAGGTCTTGTTACATCATCTTCCTGTTTATAGAGCGTTCTTGTTTACGGACTACACCTATTTGCAGAACGTTTCCAGTTACATCGTCTTCCTTTTTATAGAGTATTCCTAGTTACAGAGTATTCTTGTTAGTAGAGAGTTCCTTTTTACAGAGTGTTCCTGTTACATCATCTTCCTGTTTATAGAGTGCTCCTAGTTACAGAGTATTCTTGTTAGTAGAGAGTTCCTTTTTACAGAGTGTTCCTGTTACATCATCTTCCTGTTTATAGAGTGCTCCTAGTTACATAGAGTTTCAGTTTACATGCCTTCCTGTTTATAAGGTGTTTCTATTTACGGAATATTCACGTTTACAGAGAGTTATCTGTGACAAAAGATTTAAGTCCCCAAAGACCTTGTACCAATTATACTCATTCGCTTTACAAGCAAGCAAGAAACACAGCAAGAAGTATGAGTCTACCAAAAGTGAACGTGGTTTAACTTGACTACAAACTTTGAGAATTTGTAAATGTTTTGTCCCATTTAACTAATTTGCTCATTAAAGGTTTCTTTCGAATAGTTCAACTTGTAATAAAAAAACAAACAAAAAAAAACACTTGTTATGGTTCTCTTGTACACTTGTTGGCCTGTCCAGATGTTAATAAGATATTTCAAGCTATGACCCTCAAGTAACCAACTTGTTTTAAGATCTTTCCTTAACAGTGGAGTCTACATATTGTATCATATTAAGTAATTATAAATTTCTTTTGTCTGCTGCTATATGCACCATAAAATATTAATTAACCAACTATAAACTGGTTAAAATCCCCCATTTTCTATGTAAAATACCGAGTGAATTCAAGCAATAATTAGTGGGATTAATTGTAATTTTGATGATATTTTTGTAAACTTTCTTTTGGGCCTCATACATTATTATAATCCCGTAGCCAACAAAGCCATGAACACAAAAGCAGCTTGGTGGATATATAATTTATAAATATGTTCTTAGTAAGCCGATTGGTAACTCTAGAGTTGAATGAATCTCTGTTCAGAAATCACCTTACTTTAGTTGTAGACATATTTGTCGTGCCAGAAATCAAGGAAAAGGTTTAATTTTAAATACTTTGTTGACCTCATACGTTGCTGTAATGTAGTTGTAAGTAGTTGATTTATGCATTTACTTTCAAATCTGTAGTGAAAGTGTGTTGTCATAGTAACTTTTGTTTCCTTTTTGTTTCAGTTCTTCGAAATCAAAACGCAACGCATTGAAACTTTACAGTGCAATCATTGAAATTCTAAACTGCCTCTGTTTTTTGTTTATTGTTTTCACAATACTACTAATTCTTACACGTGCTCATTGCTCACTGAATCGAGTGTGATAGCAATGAAACAGCCATTTAATCATTTTGATGGAAGACTTGGAATACCCTGCATCTTGAAATTTTCCTATTTTAAAATTAGGCCCCTTAGTGAGACAGCGGTAAATTTCTGGACATACAACACATACATTAAACAAATTTCAAATTAGGTCCTCTAGTGGGACAACGGTAAGTTTCTGAACTTACAACAAGTACATTAAACAAATTTAAAATTAGGTCCCCTAGTGGGACAGCGGTAAGTTTTGGAACATACAACACGTACATTGAACAAATTTAAAATTAGGTCCCCTAGTGGGACAGTGGTAAGTTTCTGGACTTACAACACATACATTAAACAAATTTAAAATTAGGTCCTCTAGTGGGACAGTGGTAAGTTTCTGAACTTACAACAAGTATATTAAAGACATTTAAAATTAGATCCCCTAGTAGGACAGCGGTAAGTTTCTGAACTTACAACAAGTATATTAAAGACATTTAAGATTAGGTCCCCTAGTGGGACAGCGGTAAGTTTCTGAACATACAACAAATACATTAAAGATATATAAAATTGGGTCCCCTAGTGGGACAGCGGTAAGTTTCTGGACATTTAAAATTAGAGGCAAACGCAACTTCTTGCCATTTATGAATATTTTTTCGCAGATTTTTCTAAGATTAACAAAGCCACGAAATCAATAGAGTTAAGTGTACAGGTTAGATTGGATAAGCATGTTTCTGTTAGCGATAAAATATAACGCAGTATATATATATATACACATAATGAATTTATCTTAACCCAGTGTATATATATATATATATATATGAGATATCACGTGCAAGTTGATTTCAAGATATACAGCCGCTCTTCATTTCCGAGGGTTTTCTAGGTCAAACGTTGCTTAGTAACTGTGCACTCGTACCCTCACATGTGCCAATCAAACACCGTTGTTACAGCTGCGTTTCTTGCACAAGTCAGCTGCCGTTGATACAGAATGGAAGAAGTAAGAATTGATCATACTAACCACCTGCTGTCACCAAGCAAGACACGGGAAGGACCGAACCCCATGCTGTAAGAAGGACTGACATCTAGCTGAGAATAAGTATCACTTGTAGAATACTTTCATTAATTAATTTTAATACGTTACTCATACCAGGTGTGATTGGTGATATAACTACACGTGATTCGCATCTGGAACTCAGTACAGGAAAAAGATACACTTATCTTCCACATCTCACCCTCATCCTGATGACAAGTAGCTTCACAAATATTGATCTAGTAGGCTAATACTACAGACTTCTAGCATTTTTGTAAAGAAACTCATTTAAAAAAAATATAAAATGTGTATATTATTTTTACTTTCATAATTACACTATAGCTTCCTGTCACGTGCTTACACTTTAACTTCCTGAAGTATACTTACATCAATATTTGTTTTTCTACTTATCATATCTGTAACGTTTTTCTGAGCTATCCTTAACAGCTTTCTGAATCGTCTTACTTCTGTAACAGATTCTTGGAATATTTTAATGATGTTTAACTGCGACTAACATCTTTATGACATACCTTTTGATTATAGCTAGAATTCCTGCGTATCGCGAAAGTTTTTCTCTGGATTTTCATTCTGAAAGTTTCACTAAACTTACCTGTTCTTGAATATATTACACCTACTATTTACAGTTTAACGTTTAATTTTCAACTACATTCCACGATATCACAGCATTCTATTTTACACAGTAACCTCTATTCTATCTTTAACAAACTTTTTTACTCTCCATCTTTGAATATGTTTTGTTGTATGTTTTTCTGTTCTGAGTAAAAATTCTCTATAGCACCCTACTCTTCGTAGAGTCATATATCTAACGGTTCTCTGTAGCACCTCAACACTTCTTAGAGTTGAAACTCTGAAATTCGTCTATAGTACTCCGCCTTTTAGAGTCAAATCTTTAACAGTTCTCT